CTTGTAATAGCACTCATTTTAAAGCTTATGTTGAGCACTATAAAATCTAATTTCACCGAAATGCATAAAATGTAAAACCTCGACACTAGATGGCTTTCAATACAACAATTAAATCTTGAACGAAATGAAAAACGAGTTTGCTCTTTCAAATCTTGCTTAATATTTTTGCTAGAACAATTTATGTAATACCGATTTATTAAGATTTTTATTGACATTATTTTGTTCATTACATGATTTTTGTTAAAATGTATATTTTAAAAGATATTTGCAAAAAAACGAAGAAAAATGCCAAAAATATATGAATCTTTAGTGGGCAGTAGCTTGAAAAGTATTAGTTTTTTTTTGAAAAACTATAAAAAACATATTAATCTTATAATTAGTTCTATCGATTTTCGATGTTATTTTGAAAAAATGTAATTACGCAATTGAGAAGGGGTCGCAACCCCACAAGGGGGTGATGGCGCAACCCGAATTGTGTTCACTTTGGAACTTGAGGGTAAGATGAACCTAATTCCAAAATTTCATTCAATTCGGAGCACAGTAAAAAAATTCAGAGGTTATACCCTTTTTTCCTCTCCGTTTACTGCACTATTAAGAGGTGTAAGCCCCTTCCTGATACTGTGAAATAGAAATAATTGTTACGGGGAGGTGTATAGTTACCTCTTCAAATTATAAACTAATAATATAATAATAATGTGTATTAATTATCTCAATTTATAGCCAAAATTTTATATAATCAGTTTGAGCTCCGGCGAGAGTCTAGAAAGTCTAGACCAGTGTATCCTAACGTGGGGCGCACGCGCAACCGGGGGGCAAATTGTAAATTCAGGGGGCAATTTGAAAACTCTGGATACTACATTTACTTTTTTGCTTCAAAATACTTATTAGATTTTACAAAAAAAAAATTATTAAATATAATTTTGTTTGCAATAAAAGAGTCATTTATCTCAATTTTAAACGAAGAATTCGCACTTTAAAATGAGCACACTAGATTTATCTGTATTGGTTTTTTATAAGTGAAGTTCAAATCAGTAGCTAGGATCGGGGAATTATCGCAAAATGTGCCGTATGTTACGAAAAACCCCGAAAACTTGCAGCCTTCTATAGTGTTTCCCATCATTCAGTCGGTGTTAAATTGAAGTAAGTGTTGATTCATTAGAATTAATCGTTGAGTTAATAAATAAACGTGAGTGTTGATTTGTGAGTGAAATAGTAAGAAATAATCATTGAGTTTATAAATATACTCAAGTGTTGATTTGTGAGTGAAATTGTTAGGATTAATTGTTGAGTTTATAAATATGCTTATATATATATATATATATATATATATATATATATATATATATATATATATTGTTAATATATTATCAATTGGTGAGTAGTCCATTTTATTTATAGAAGCATTCAATTATACAGAAATTTCTGTCAAGTGAAAAAAATGAGATAATGCAATAGGGGGTAAGGCGGGGCACAAAGGTCCAATTTGACTTGGAGCAATTATATTGTAAAAATCAAACCAATTATCACAACACATATCAAACAAACAACTATCTGACTATGTTCAGTAAAACTTCCAGCTAATTCATCATTGTAGAAATGCGTTTTTTGTTTTTTCAAATATTCGTAACCTGGTTCTTTTTACTTTAATAGCGGAGTGAATTAGGACGGCCATTGGGTAAACAGGACCAATGACTTAATTTTATTTTGAAGAAATTTTACAAAATAATAGCTATAATATTCAATCAATACAAAAAATAAATTTTATGGGTTAAATTTTTATAGAGAACACTTTAAATAACCTTTGTATGGTTTTTGTTAGAAATATTCACTAGCAAAGTTGAATTAACTATTCATTTGATTTAACTCTTGTTGAATTAAAAAAATTTCTTTTATAACTTAATTTACTATTTTATTTTTTTATACCTTTTCCAGAGTAAAGCTTCAGTCGTTTTTTTTAACCCACGCAGGTATAAGCTTTTATAGAGGTTGTATAAAAAAGACTGTTGACCATTAATATTTTTCTGCGTATACGTTTGTAGCGGGTTGCCAACACGCATCGCGGCTTGTCAACACGCATTACATGTTACTGGACAGATTGGCCCATATATTGACAGCACAGAAAAAAACAAAAATAAATTCAAGTGTCAGATCGGACACGGCTTTTGTTTCTCCCTAGTCGAATTTTCCAAAAATGTATAATTCTTGAAACCTTTCTTTTCGATTATAAATAAGAAAATACCAATCACATTTTATTAACGATAAATATGACAACACATAGTGTCGTGGATATTAATCATACATAAAATAAACCAAATATAAATAATATTTTATGGAATTTATTATTACTACAATTTGGATAAATAATATTGGTATTAATATGGAGGACTACCACACCTCCATATTTTGGTGACCCCGAGAGTGAACAAGTAACACACATAAAAGAAGGTAAGAAGATCAAGACATATTCTGAAGTTAAAAAAAATAAATTGAAGTCTCAAGAATTATTAAGAAAAGAATTTTTAAAAATATAAATAATTATTATAAATGACTCACAACTACCGTAATTCGAAGAGCACTCTAAGCATACAACTGAGACTTCGACCACGCACTTCAAGATCAACAACAACACGTGCTCAATAAATCACTTATTATCCTGGTAAATAAGTCGATTATAAGCACCATGGCAACAGACAGGGAGCATCAGCAAACAATTTGGCAACCGCCATATACACTCAACCGCTAACTCACCAGCGAAGGGCCACATACAATCAACCGCTAACTCACCAGCGAAGGGCCACATACAATCAACCGCTAACTCACCAGCGAAGTGTCAAATATACTCAGCCGCTAACTAACCAGCGAAGGGCCACATCTTCTCAACCGCTAACTCACCAGCGAAGGGCCACGTAAGCAATCAACAAACTCAACAAGCCAACACGGCATTCAAAACGGCCACGGCCACAAACAAATAAAATTTATCACACAATCTCAACCAAAAGAAATTTACAAGGAAGTTCAAGAATGGCAGTCAGAGATGCGAAACAATCTTTTTCATTAGGGCGGAGTGATGTAGCGGGTTGCCAACACGCATCGCGGCTTGTCAACACGCATCACATCCTAGACAATATTAGAATACCCCGTGTTCATATAGACGCTTCTCTCGCCCGATTTTTACGTTCAGAAGGAATACTTAAAGGGTCCTCCGCTCGACGTGATGGCGCTGCTTTTGGCATTCAAATTAATGGCGCAAAATTTGAATTGAAAATTAATGATTTTTAGTGCACGGGTATTTGAAACTAAATTTGGTATTACAATCCTATTATGTTTTGTAATAATACAATAATAACAAAAATATACTAGATAATATTATATTATAATAAATATACAATCAAATCAAAATATAAATCAACGAATACACTGCAATACACCGGTTTATCTATAATATATATCACATCTAATCTACTGGAATAACTTCTACACTTTTTTCTACTTATTAATATAAATATGTATTGAAATTTAGTGAATAATGCATTTTAGTGTTAGTTCATTACATCGTCTGTCATTCTTAACTCTCATTAACTAATAATCATCCCGTGCAAAATTTGACATTCTTAAGCAATTCATTTTCTCCCAAGTATATTCAGATCCGTATGAAGTGGTAATCCAATTTTAAACAGCTGGAACAGCTTTTTAATCGTGTATTATGTCTTTCTTGTAGAAGCGTATTCTTGATTTCTTACACAATTTCCTAGAACTGACCTCTTTCCTTAAAGTGTATTAAGTTTAGACTAATATGTCAATGCACTACCTAGTCATTTAGTAATTATGTCCTCCATATGAGTTTGAAGCTGTTCTATTCATATTGTCAAAGGATTATGCATTTGAGAGCAATTTCTGATGAATAAATATAGAAACACAAACGAACAAGCATCGCCATTTTGTAAACTTACACAAAAATAACACTGACGTTTCTTACTAACCAAAATAAAACATTTGAAAATACTTTTTCATCGGCTCACTAGCGCCAAATCTGCGACTACAAATGGACCCCTAAGTATTCCTTCTGAACGAGCATTTTGTTCTAAGTGAAAAGGCCCTGCATCACATGTTACTGGACAGATTGGCCCATATATTGACAGCACAGAAAAAAACAAAAATAAATTCAAGTGTCAGATCGGACACGGCTTTTGTTTCTCCCTAGTCGAATTTTCCAAAAATGTATAATTATTGAAACCTTTCTTTTCGATTATAAATAAGAAAATACCAATCACATTTTATTAACGATAAATATGACAACACATAGTGTCGTGGATATTAATCATACATAAAATAAACCAAATATAAATAATATTTTATGGAATTTATTATTACTACAATTTGGATAATTATGGTATTTAATATGGACCACACCTCCATACGTTCACTGTTTCTTCTGCCATATTTAAATATTTTTAACACATATTTTCAAACAGTTTTACAATATTTTTAGCTCACAATAAAATGAGTGAAACAAATAAGAGAAAAACTCGTCAATATTCGAATGAATATTTAAAAGCGGATACCCTTTTGTCTTATGTCATCAGTGCTTGAGCAACGAATCAATGAAACCAGGTCGTCTTGAGGCACATTTGAAGGCAAAACATCGTGAGCATGTAAATTCAGATTTGAATTATTTTAAAACTTAAAAAAAAAAGTTTGAGAAAAGAACAACATTGCCGTCTCTATTTACTGCACGGTCTTCAACAAACAGTCGTCTTCTTGAGGCGAGTTATCAAATTTCATTATTAATTTGCAAAAGTGGAAAAAACCACACTATAGAAGAAAATTTGATAAAACCATCAATTTCAGCATTTCTTAAAACAGTTTTAGAAAAAGATGACACAGAAGTGAAAGCCATGCCACTCAGTAATAATACTGTTTGCAGAAGGATAGACGAAATGAGTGACGATATTGATAACCAATGAATTGATAAGTTAAAAACCAGATATTTTTCAATACAAATGGATGGATCGACCTTGAGAGACAGTGAGGCTGTATTGCTGGCATATGTACAATTAATTGATGCAGGGCAATTTTCTGAGGAAAGACTGGAAGGCACTACTAAATCCCAAGACATATATAATAAGTTAAAAAACTATTTAGAATTGAAGAACATATCTATGAAATATATAACATCTTGTGCTGTAGATGGTGCTCCTAACATGATGGCCAAGAAAAATGGCTGCTTGAAATTGATTAAAGATATAAATCCTGAAATAGTTATTGTGCATTGTGTAAATCATAAGAAACACTTAGTTGCAAAAAATATCTCTCCTGTTCTAAATAAGGTATTACATGCAGTTATAAAATGTATTACATGCAGTTATAAAATGCATTAATGCTATTAAAGCCAGTGCCAAATCTGAGCGTCTTTTTAGGCTGTTTTGTGAAGAGCAAAATGAAAGCTATGTTAGACTTTTACTTCATACTGAAGTAAGATGGCTTTCCAAAGGAAATTGCTTAAACAGATTCATGCAACTCTTTGATGTTTTAAGTGAATTTTTAAATGACAAACCTGAAATGAAGATTTTATTAACTATCGATGGTAAAGCGTTTGTAGGTTATTTAACAGATATATTTGAAAAATTGAATATATTAAATAAACAACTCCAAGGACCAAATAAAACACTTGTCGATGCGAAAGCGAAGATATTTGGTTTCATTACAAATATTGAATTGTATATAAAACAAGTTGGCAACAGAAATTTCGAGCAGTTTCATTGGCTTCAAAAATGTAAAGCAACTAGTAATGCTTTACTTGTAATGACAAATCATCTGGATAAAGTATCTGTCGACATGAAGGAGAGATTTTCTGATTTGAAACAAATTGATTTCCCAGCATGGATGTTGCAGCCAGTAATAGTGGATTTGACTGATATTTCAGATATGCAGTATCAGGAAGAACTTGCTGAATTTCAAAATAATGAGTCAGCAAACACTTTATTTAATAGGAAAGGGGCAATGGTATGGCTTTGTCAAGAAATTGAAGCCAAATATCCAAAAATAACCAAGTGCGCAAGAAAGCTTTTCCTGCCGTTTCCAACTTCATATTTAGTAGAATGTGGATTTAGTGCTGTGAATGATTTATTGATAAAAAAAAGAAATAGACTTGATATAACAGAACGTGGAGATTTGAGATTAAAGCTTAGCTAACTAAAACCCAATATAAAATCATTCTGTAGCAAACATCAAGCTCAATTATAGTTAAGGTGGTGCGTAGCACAAAAAAGGTTGGGAATCACTGGTCTAGACTCAAGACCTGTAGTCGGGGAACCGGAGTAAATTACCCCAAATGGGGTAAAAGTGGAATTTTTGGGGGTAAAATGTATGTATTTGCGAAGCACTAAAGCAGCTTCAGTAAAACCTACTATCGGAGAGAATTTCTGGATTAGCAGAAAATGTGAAGGAATAAGTTGTTTTTGCTCTAAAACAAGTTAAATATCTTGCTTGTTCTAAATCATAGCATCAGTAAAACCTACTACCGAAAAGAATCTCTGCATTAGCAAAAATGTGAAGTTTTTGCACTAAAACAAACTAAATATGTTGCTATTCAGCTTGAGACAACGGATTTCAGTAGTAATTCACAACTGGTATATGTTTGCTATAAAGGTGTAGATAATTTTGAAAATGAATTGCTGTTTTGTTTTCTTCTCGAGTTCAGATGTCTTGGAATAAATATTTATAATAAAGTAAACGAATAGCTCAAAGCGCAAAGATTAAAATGGGAAAACTGCAATTTGGTGTCTTTGGATAAAGCTCCAGCTATGCTGGGTCATATTAATGGTTTTTCAGTTTTTGTAAGGGAAAATAACCCAGCCTCATACAACATACCTCAGAAAAAATGGATGTGCGTGTGTGTTTTGTGTGTCCGCATTTTTTCGCTCATGTTTTTGGGCGCACGGATTAACCGATTTGAATGGTTTATTCAACATTCGGTTTCTATTGATGCGGAGATATGCTGATTAGTATTTGGCAAAGGCAGGTCCAGCCGTTACGGAGATACGGAGTAAAGAGTGCAGAAAATAGAAATCAAGTTTTTGAGAGAACGGAGTATCCCATTTGAGTGATCCAAAAAACATTCAATTTGTAATGATTGGAAGAAGTAGTGCTTAGGTTTTGGCAAAGACACGTCCAGCCATGTCGAAGATACAGAGCTAAATGTGCAAAAAATGGCTGTTTTTGAGAAACCTAAGCATCCGATTTAAATGATTAAAAAAACTTGCTGTTTGTGTTGACAAAACAATTGCTTTTGGAAAAGAAAAATATTTCAATTTTTTTTTCGAAAAATGTTTCTTTGTATATCGAAAATAATTCAGATTTTAATTTTAATTCTGGCTAAAGTTCTAAAACTTACTTATATACTTCAAATAAATAATTTTAACTAAGCAATTCAGCTTATATATATCTTATGAATATTATACAATGTTACAGTATTTATAATAATCTAATTGAAAACATTTAAAATTCCTCGAACATTTCGTCACGGTGCGGAAAGTTCCAGCAATTTACCTTAAGGCATGATGCCATACACTACTAGTTTATTTATGTATTAGGAGGATTATCATGAAAAATATATTTATTCATAAAACATATAGTTTTCACTTGTTTCCTTATATTGTTTCCTTCAAACCTTTTGTCTCAGCCTTTTTCAAAGTTTAGAAGTAACAAACAATGTAGCAAACCGTTAAACTGCGGGTTAAGATGGTTATACAGAAATATGCTGCAAACAGATTCCAATTATAGGCTCTTTTAGTTATTTTTTGTGCGGTAATGAGAGGTTGCACAAAAACATTTTGGGGTAATGGTTCCAAAAGTTCCCCGACCACTGACCTAGAGTAATAAAATAATTATACCCTAGGCACTAGCTAGTTGCAAAAAACTCAATCCTTCTGCACGTATATCTTGAACCATTAACATCTTACAAATAAATACTAAATATTTACTTATTTTTCAATTAAGTTATTTTATATCAGGCTGATATAGCCATTTTAATAATAAATTATATCTAGTCCTTCGAAGTAATAGATTGTTCGTATTGTCGTGTATAATTTCCCAAATGTACCTTCGACTCGAGCATAGGTCCCATCTACGCAACAACACTACTACCACTATGCCGTCCGGCGACACCACAGTGGAGTCGTGCGCAAACTAGTGGTCAACAGCCGGCAGAATTAGCATTTATCACATACGTATCGTACAAAACATATAATTTAGAACATACGACCCTCACGATAACTCATCATTCCACGATAATTCAGTAAAATGAAGATAATTTACCGATCATATTTTTTATGTATTATGCTGCCCTCTCTTGTAGGCAATGGATGTTAATTATATTTATAAAGCATATGTTCGTAACACCGTATCGAAATTTAGTTGTGGAAATTGCAACCATAGATAAATAAGCATATCTATGTACCTTTTTTACATTATCTATGGTACCTACACTCTCAGTAACGTGATCTTTGTTGTATGTACACTTTTGTTGTTTGGATTCGAAAGCCATTTATCGTTTGGAGCTCTGTGATATTTATATTTGTTGTGCGCTGCAGTAATTTACAACTGAAATTATAATCCGCTGAAAAATATTTTTTGTGCTAAATCAGGTAATTATTCACAAATCAATTGGTATAGCTAGTAGTTTCTGCTTGTATTTTTAAAAGTATTTTATTTATTCGATTTCGAACAAGATGAGGAACATAAGTTCTGATGAAGATACAAGAAGACTACAGGCTAAAAAGCCGAAACTTTATGCACGTAGAAAGCAAAAATTTTTGAGAGAATGGATGAATGATACAAAGTTCAACACGTGGTTAATGCCAGATGTATCAAACAAGTTTAAAGCTAGATGCAGATTATGTAATACATCGTTTACTGCTGAGCTCACGGTAATTAAAAATCATGACAAATCTAAAAGTCATTTGTCATCAATCACTTCGGCTTCGAATCAAAAATCAATTCAATCATTTACTCAAAAAAAAGTGGAAACATCATTTGATAACAAGGCAACACGTGCAGAAATAAAACTTTGTGAATTTCTTGCTGAGCACAATCTTCCTTTTCGGTTAATGGACCACCTGACACCTCTTTTAAAAGATTGCTTTCCAGATTCAAAAATCGCCCAGGATTTGAGGTTAAAATCATGAAAGTCTGCTGCTGTAGTGTCAAACGTAATTGGAGCAACTGAAAAAGAAGATTTATCTATAAAGTTAAAAAATGTATTATTTAGTGTTCTAAATGACGAGTCAACTGACATTTCTAGGACACAAAATTTATGCATTGTTGTTAGATTTTATGATGCTGAGCCAGGCAAAATCACCAGTCGCTTTTGGGTGTTGTATCAGATTTTTAATGAAGAAGATAAATCATCTGAAGCATCAGCAAAACATATTTTTAACTGCGTTGAAAAATCTTTTGTCTTTAACAAATATCATTGGGCTTGGATCAGATGGGTGTGATACTATGATGGGGGATAAAAACTCAGTAAGAACGATTTGAGCAGAGATGTCCTAGAATTTACATAATGAAATGCCTGTGTCACTCATTACATCTCTGCGCAAGTAATGCTTGTTCTGAATTACCCCCAGAATGTGAGAAATTACCACAGCTGGTTCATAATCATTTTTCAGTGAGCTCAAAACGCCAATATGCATACAAAAGAATTCAATCGATTTTGGATTTGAAACAGCATAAAATTTTACAACCTGCTCAGACCCGCTAGTTATCACTTCGAGCAGTGGTAGAACGAGTGGAAGGCATTAATTTTATATTTCAATCAATTAAATTATGAAGAGGAATACAGGAAGATGAGTAAAAGGAAAAAAGATGATAGTGGTGGAACAGATGAAAATGAATATGAAGTTGCAAGAATACTTCAATACTTGCGAAATCCCATAATAAAGCTCTACTATCATTTTTTATTGTGGATTTTACCTAACTTCACGAATTTAAACAAGTTATTCCAGTCCGAAAACCCTATTATTATGTCAGTTCATAAGAAAATTAGTATGACATATTTTATTTTATTTTATAGGATTTATTAAAAACATATATGGATGATGACTACGTAAATAAAACACCCATATATAATATTGAACCATCGGATCAGACTAAATTTAAGAATATTCAAAATATTTATGTTGGAGTAGAAGTTTTTAAATATTTTAATCAAGCAGACTTTTCAAAACATCCTCGTTTACAAGAAAAATTACATTTTCTTGCAAAATTCAGGAAGTTTATAATTCGAAGATGTGAAGAAATAAAAAAACGATTCGATTTCAATGATACTATATTGAAATATTTATCAGTAATGGATCCTGCGGAGGCAATGAATGGTAAAACAGTAATCACTACGCCAAGTTTGCTTCCATTGTTGAGTAAACTGCCCCGATTATTAAACCCAAGCCAAAGTCAAATTATTGATAATGAATGGCGAAAATTCCAGAATTTTGAATTGCCGGATGACATTAGTCTTGATGATCCAGAAGATCATTTTTGGCACAAAATTTTAATTTACAAAGATAAGGAAGAGGTTTGGAGTTTTGAAAACTTAGCTAAATTTTTCTTAAATGTTATGTCATTACCTCATGCTAATGCCGAATGTAAGCGAATATTTAGCAAGATTGGATTAATAAAATGCCAAACACGCAACAAATTGGTAACTAATACACTTAACGGGCTATTGTTAAGTAGTCAGCGAATCAACCATAACTGCGTTGGTTACGAACCATCTAAAGATGAATTTTGTAAAATGAAGAAATCTTTATATGCTACTTCCACAAGCAATAGTGAAAGCCACTCTATTGATACTAATACCAGTGATGCTGACCAACCAAACGTCGATCTGGATGACATATCATATTTTAGTTAAAAAAATTTGTATTTATTGTATATAATATATAGATTTATAATTGTATAAATGTCATTTAATAAATAAAAAAGTAAATCGTCTAATTTTAATTTTAACAAACGTCAAAAAAACCTTTGATGAATTTTTAAAATTAAACTACTTGTCGTAAGGCAGTATTATTTCAGTAAGTTCTATAAGACCATGATATATATCGCCAAAAAAAGTTCCATAAAATTCGGTTTCAATTTTTCTGCAACAATTAATTACAAGAAAACGGTTCGATAGATTTTCACCTAAAACTAAA